CCCAAAGTCCCCCAACCACCATGCTAGGGCCAGGCAATGCCATCGGGTGTCCCAGCCACCAGACACCTCAGCAGAGTGCCACTCCCACCCCCCTGTCATTGGTGTGTCTCCCCAGAAGGACGGGGCAGCAGCAGGGGAGCTGGCCCATGGACAGCTCCCTGTGCCCAGCCACGTGTCCCTGTAGAAGGGGCATCTTACCCACAATCATCCCAACCTCGCACCGGTGATCTTCGTAGTAGCACGAGATCATCGTGGCCACCGTGTCGTTCACCATTGCCACCACGTCCATCTCGAAGTCCTGGGGACAGGGACCAGTGTGGGCTCCTGGGGAGCCAGGCAGTCCCCAAACGGGTGGGTTTGGGGTGCACGGTCCCCAGGGGTGAGGGCCTGGGCACATGTCATGCACACGTGTGCGCACACACATGGAACAGCCCTGCTCAGAGGCACACGTGGCTCCAGCAGCCCCCATCTGGGGACACAGCAGGCTGTAGTGGCCCTGTGGCAGGCAGAGGCGGGCTGCAGTGAGCCCTGGCAGGGACAGCCAGGGTGGCGCAAGCACAGGGGGATCCTCTCACCCCTCGCCGTTTGATGGCGTCCCTCAGCAGCCCCACCACGTTGTTCCCTTCCGCGCCCGAGGCTTTGAAGCCCTTGGTCCAGTTCAGGAGGATGCCCTGCAATGCGGGTCAGACCAAAACAGGGCTGTGGTTTAGGTGAGGCTTGGGGACCCCCAAGCCCTGGTCCTGCCCAGACACCCCCTCACCTTGTCGATGTCCTCGTGCCGTACAGGGAAGGAGAAGGTGAAGCCCAGGGGCAGCTTTTTGTGCTTCATCTGGTGCTTGTCCAGGAAATCAGAGATGCACTCGGAGATGTAGTCGAAGAGCTGGAATACAGGAGGTCCAGCCTTTCCCGAGGGATGTCCCCACCCTCTCACTGCCCTTTGACAGATGCTGCCCACCACCACGGGTTCCCCAGGACTGGCCACCCCCAGCTTCTGCTGGCTGGAGGGATGGGTGCGTCCCCTCAGGTGCTCCCTCTGAATTACACACAATGAAAGGGACTGGGAAGGGATGGGATGCCCCGTGTGCTCCACTGACCATCTCAGCCGTCCCAGTCATGGCATCCTCTGGGATGGAGTACATTTGGTGCTTCGTCTTCACCTTCCACTGCCCCTCCTCCCCCTCGCCCACCTTCACCAGCATCACACGGAAATTGGTGCCGCCCAGGTCCAGAGACAGGAAATCTCCCACCTCTGCAAAGCCAGGGAGAGGGGGACAAGGTGATGGGCTCTTGGTAGGCTCAGCCTTGCCCGTGGAGCTGGAAGGGTGGCACACAAGGGGCTGGAGTAGCACCGTACCAGAGCCCTCGGGGGTGGAGCGCACGTAGGTGGGCAGCATTTTCACAGAGGCTTCCTCGTGTGTCTCCAGCTTGAGCCCTCGGTCCATCTCCTTCTGCATCCGGTACATCACCTTCTTCAGGTCCTCCTCCTTCAGACGGAACTCCGACAGGATCTGCTCCACCTGCACATGGCACAGCGTCAGCCAGGGACCAGGGATCTGGGATGCAAGGGGCCTGAACTGCAAGAATTTCAGGAAACTCCAAGTTTCCCTTCTCCCAGCCCTGTTTTCACATGGCCACCCTGAAATGACATCCTGTCGCACTGTTATTCTCTTCCTGCTGAGCAGGGAATCCATAGCACTGTCGGGAGGCATCAAGGCCCCTTATGGTGCTGCCTGCAGGACACCACAGTCAGCTCTGGTGTCCAGGGCTGGCACTGGGCTCCTGCCACCCCTGTCACCCAGCTGAATTGTTTGGGTGGCTGTGCACCATTCCAGCAGTGACCTGATGAATCCCAGAGTCATTCCCAGCAAGGAGTGCTCCTGGCCATGCCCTTGAGGAGCACAGCATCTCCCACCAAGGACATGAGATTCTTTAATGATGAAGATGCTGGTCTGTCCTCCTTGCTCCCCTGGGAGCATCCCTCTCCCTGTATCCCATTGGGAATCATGGGTACCGTTTTTCACCCACCAAATGTGGGGCTAAAATGGGGCAGAGGGCAGGCAGGCAGGAATGCTCCTGGGGATTGCTGCCTTGTCTCGCTGCCAGGGAGAGCCGCAGGGCCCACTCCAGGGAAGCACCTGGCAAGCAGGATCCGTGTTTATCCTGTCCGTAGCAACCCCGGTCTCGGCGCAGCCTCCATTAGGCGGCAGGGCTGGGGCCAGGTGCCCCGGCTGTCAGATGGAGCGGGGCCGGCGCTCCCTCCCGGCCAGCTGCAGCCGGCAGCATTAGGGCTCATTAGTCACCGCCTCTTCCCGGCACACAGGTGTTTGCCTCGAGGCTGCTGCTGTTTCCTGACAGGTTTTGGGGTAGGGGGCTCAGGAAAGCGCCTGGGGTGTGGTTTGGAGTGTCCCAGCTCTGGGGACACCCTTTGCCGTGGCTCAGTCCAGCTGCCCTGGCACATCACCCGGCCCCCAGCGCCGTGGCTGCGGCACGGAGACCCCGGAACAGCAGCACTGTGGGGAGGTTTGCCCTGGTCCTGAGGGTGTTTGGCCAAAACGATTGGAAAAATCCTGCCAGGAAAGCTGGAGCTGGATCCGATCAGCCCTCCTGGGCTGTTGGTTGCAGGTATTCAGTGCCAATCCATCCCATGGCACCACCCGGCATGGGAACCCTGATCTGCCATGGCCGGAGGGTCCCTGTCCCAAGGCGGGCACCTGGGAGTCCCAGTTTTATTTCTCCAGTGTTTTTCCCATCTCAGCACCACATGTCCCTACTCATCTCTCCCCTTGCCTCCAAAACCATGGGTTTGGCCCTTCCCTGGCAGTTTTTGGGTCTTCCCACATGACGTTAGCTGGCTCTCAGCTTCCCATGGAAATGATGTGCTCCAGTGCATCCCACCCAAGGGATGGAGCTGGGAACCCTGTGGCTGCTGGCTGCAGTGGCCAATGACACCCATGTCTGCTGGTCCAGTGTGTGATGAGTCCCCTCAGTGTTCTCTTGGTGTTCCCTGAGCTCAATCCATCTGGGAGAGGATGCTTCACACAAACAGCTGGTTCTTGTCTGGGATGAGCCCTGTGCCACCCTGCTGGGCGCCTCAGTGACAACGATGACAGCCAGCTGAAGGAGGTGACAGGCCCCATCTCATCCTGGGGGTGTTGGGAGGGTGGGAGTATCCCAGGCCAGCAGAACATCCCACAAACGCCCCCAGCTCCATCAGGAGCCCCCTGTGCCGTGCTGGGGGGTGACCTCAGGGATGGGGCTGCCCCATGTGTCCTCACCAGCAGCCATCCTGCTCTGGGCTGGAACCCTGGGAGCTGCTGGAGCACCAGGGAAGGCTGGACCACGGTGAGGCTCCGCACTCCTCCCCTCACCCCCTGGCCCCCCGCAGCCTTCTCACCTTCTCCTTCCTGCTGCTCTCCATCCTGGCTCGGTGATCCAGCATGGGGGCAGGCGCGGGCTGGGGCGGGCTGCGGGCCGAGCCGTGCCCCCCTCGGCCGCTGTGTCCCCACCGTGGTGCCCGGCCCGGGGCAGCGCCCTGCCCTGGCCTGGAGCGCGTCCGCCGGGCCCTGCGCTGCTCCGTGCCGCGTCCCTCGCTCCGTCCCTCGCGGATGCTCCACTTTCGCTGCCTTATCTCATCCGAGGGCCCGAGCGGCCCCGGCGAGGCGGTCCCGGCCCCTCAGGCGGAGGGGCAGCGAGGCGGTCCCGGTGCCCTCAGGCGCAGCGGCAGCGAGCGGGCCCCGGGGCCGCGGCAGGGTCAGCCCTGCGGCCCCACATGCTCTGCTCGGCTCCGCTCACGCTCTCCCGCGCTCCCTCGGTGACTCCGGGCTGCGTGGGGGTCCCAGCCCGGCGCGGGGGGCTCCGGCAGCCCTGGGGACCCCTGGTGCGCTGGCCGGGCTCGGCCGGGACCCTCCCCGCCGCACCCCGCCCCGGGTCAGCCGTGTCCCCGTTGCCGTGCCAACGGCTCGATGGTGGCGGCAGGCACTCCAGCGGCCGGCTTGGCAACCGCGCTCCCATGGAGACCGGGCACGGCCGGGGGCGAGGGCGGCGGGAGCGCTGCGGGCCCCGGCCCGGGACGGGACCGCATCCCTGAACCGGCACCGCGGGGCTGCACCAAACCGGCGCCGCGGGGATCCGGGATGGCGGGGACGGGGATGGGGCTCCCCGGCACCCCCGCAGCACGTCATGCTCCCGGTGTGGCGGAAATAGGGGAGGTCCGAGTGGGATGAAGGGCACCCCGGGGATGGGTGACCCCAAAAGCTCCGGTGCTGCTCTGGGACACCCCGGGAGTCCCGGACGGTGACAGCCCTGGGGGCTCTGGAGGGACACAGGGTTTTGGGTGTCAGGGCAGGGCCTGGGGCATGCAGGGTCACCCCAGAACACTCCCCTGCCCCTCAGGGGTCACAGGAGGGCCCTGGCAGCCCTGCCCCTGTGTCACCAACCACGAGGGCTCCCCACACCTCTGAAGGGTCCCAAACTCTCGAGGGGCTCAGTCCCTGCCTCCCACCATGGAGGGGACCCCACGGCGGGGCAGAACCGCCCCATGGAAGGGTCCCCATTCCCCAGGGCGGCCCCCAGCATGAATGGGGGAGGCTGTTCATGCTTCTGAGAGAGGGTCACCACACCGCGGGGACAGGGTCCCACACACGGGGACCTCCGCCCCACAGCGGGACCCCCGCCCCACAGCGGGACCCCCGCCCCACGGGGAGACCCCGCCCACGGGGAGACCCCGCCCCACGGGGAGACCTCGCCCACGGAGAGACCCCGCCCCACAGAGAGGCCCCGCCCCACGGAGCCGAGCAGGCCCCGCCCCCGCGGCCCGCCGGGCAGAGCGCCCCCTGCTGTCCGCTCCGAGGAACGAGCGCCGCTCCTCGGGCGGCGCTGATTGGTCGCCCGGAATGCGAGGATGCGGGCGCTGATTGGCCAGAAGGGTGAGGGGGCGGAGCGATCTTTGGCGCGTGCGCAGAGCGGGAGGCGTCCCGTGGCAGCGCCGGCACTTCCGGCCGCCGTGTTCCACTTCCGGGTCGCGCCCATCGCCGCCCGGCCGCCGCCCGCGCTGAGCCGCGACTGCCCCGTCGGTACCGGGGGGGAACGGGGGGGAATGGAGGGATCCTAGGGGGTACCGGGACCCCGCGGGGTCGGCTGGGCTTCTCGGGGGCCGAGGGCTGGGGTGCGGTGGGTTGTACTGGGGAGTGGCCGCGTAACACTGGATGGAGGGGCTGGGATGTACTGGGGGGGGTTATACTGGGTTATACTGGGGGGGTTATACTGGCTGTACTGGGTTTTACTGGGCTGTGCTGGGTTATACTGGGCTGCGTTATACTGGGTTATACTGCGGTGCGTTATACTGGGTTATACTGGGGTGAGTTATACTGGGTTTTACTGGAATGGGTGATTCTGGGTTATACTGGGTCGGTTTTACTGGGTTTTACTGGTTTATACCGGGGTGGGTTTTACTGGGCTGTACCAGGTTTTACTGGGTTATACTGGGCCAGGTGAGGTTTGGGCTGGATTCAGGGTGAGGAGCCAGGGGGCGCTCCGGGGGCAGGGGGCTCCAGGGGCAGGGGGCTCAGCTGCCCGGGCCGGCAGGAGGGTCTGGGGGAGCCCCAGGGGGGTCTCAGGGGGGATGTGGGAATGCCCTGGCCCCCGGCCCCAGCCCAGCCCCTGCTGTTCCCCCCAGGCCCCCGGAGCCGCCGCCATGAGGCTCTACAGCCTAAGTGTCCTTTACAAGGGTGACCCCAAAGTGCACTTGCTCAAAGCTGCCTACGACGTGTCCACCTTCAACTTCTTCCAGAGGTCCAGGTAGGTTGGGCAGCTCAGCCTGGGACCTGCTGCTCTGGGCTGCCTCGGGAGCACCTCGGGCAGGGGGGGCAGCAGCTCTGGGGGGTTTCTTCCCCACTGGGGCTGCAGTGGCAGCAGGGAGAGGCTTTTCCTGGGGGAAAATACCCCAGAGCTGCTCCCTGGGCCTGCTGCAGCACTTGGGGTGATGGATCAGGAGTGGAGTGGAGCTCCTGGAGCCCCAGCCATCAGGGTCAGCTCTGACTCCACAGATCCCCAGTGCAGCCCAGGGGTGAAATCGGGGCCCTGGGAGGGGCCTCATGGGGGTCAGGGGGCTTCCACACGGGGTCAGGGGGCTGCAGCAGCCCCTGAGAACCCCCTGGAGCTGTGGGACAGAGCAGGAACATGCTGTGGAACACACAGAGCAGTTGGGAAATTCCTCTGGGACCCGAAGTCTCCATGCCAGGGTTTTGTGGAGCCCCAGGCACGCTGGGTTCTGTGATTGCAGGGGGAAAGGGGAAAGGCTGAAGCAGGACTGTCTAAAAAAGCTCTTCCTTAGCCAGATGTGCAGCAGTGCCAGCTCAGTCCCAAAACAGCTGCAGCTCTGGTTTCCCAAATTCCCAGAAATTCCATGTGGTGTCCCCCAGCAGGCTGTGTCTGTGCCTAGGGAAAACTCTGGGATTTTGGGGAGGGGGGGGGGGGGTCTGTGCCTGCCAGCTGCTCCCAGGGTTTGGTGCTTGGCCCAGGTGTGATGTCTGGGGTGTGTTTATCTGGGCTTTGGAGAGCTGGATCTGGGGTTAGCAGGGCTGTGGAACCTGCTGGGCAGGAGCACAGGGCTGGGCTGAGCGCCTGCCAAGGAACTGGGCAGGGTCAGAGGGAGGCACTGATTGCCTAGTTCCTTCTGGAACACTGGGAAATAAACCCAGAATTCCCAGTGGGAATCAGCCCTTGGGGCACACTCTGGCATCCAGATGGCACCTGGCTGGACTCAGTGATCCTGGAGGGTCTGTCCATGGTGTGTGTGAAACCCTGGGGTTGTGGGGGCTGGCAGCAGGACCCTCCACGTGGGGAGAGGAGTCTGTGCTCCCCCTCTGATGGAGCAGGGATGTTCAGGATGTTCAGAATCTTTGGGCTGATTCAGGATGTTCAGGAGTCTTGGGCTGGATCAGGATCTTCAGGATGTTCAGGGATCCTCGGGCCGGGCTTTCCCTGCCCTGCAGGGTCTCTGTGAGCTGCTGTCTGGGCTGGGAGCAGTGCAGACCCCTCCAGGGATGCAAACTGCAAGGCCATTTCCCCTCTGGAGCTCTCCCAGCAGAGGGAGGCTGTCAGAAAACCAGTCAGCCTCACCACTCTGTGCCCAGTGACATTTTCTTGGCACCTCCAAGCTGGAGCTGTCCCACTCCTGGTGTTTGGTGAGCTCTGTACCCCATCCCTGGTAAAAATCCCTTCCTGGGGTTTCGCAGCTGAAATGGGCACTGTGCTGCCTCACACTGGCTGATCCCAGCCTACCAGGATGGGCTGTCCTGCAAACAGCTTCATTTGACTCCTGCTCATTAATTCTGGCTTCCTTTCCTTGCTGTGGGGCGCTGAGGGCTCACTGAGGAGCCTGCTGGACAGGCCTGAGCCTGGGCTCTGGAATGTGCTCCAAATTAGAGCAAGCCTGGCTTGGGGCTGTTCCTGAGCTTCGACTCACAGCGTGCCTGGGGGCTCAAACACCCCTCCCAGCCCAACTGATGCAGCTGGTCAGCAGGTTCAGTAGTGGTTTTGCTTTCTGAATCCCCAAAAAGCAGGTTCAGCCCAGGACAGAGGCTGTCCCTGCACCTGGGGGCTCCCCTGGTGCCTGGAGGTGCCCTTGGGGCACTGCCACTGCTCGGGGGGCAGGGGCAGGGTGTGTTACCCAGCACAGCGGGGGCTGTGGCACAGCTGGCTCCCCAGCAGTGTCCCCAGGGTGTCCCCAGCCCTGCCCTGTCCCCGCAGTGTGCAGGAGTTCATGACCTTCACGAGCCAGCTGATCGCGGAGCGCTCGGCGCTGGGCAGCAGGGCCTCTGTCAAGGAGCAAGGTGAGAGCTTCCCCGGCCCCCCCGGGAAAAGGCACCCCAAAACAGAGCCTGGGGGGCAGCACTGCTGCTGGGAGCCGCAGCAGAGCCTGGGGGTGCTGCTCCCTCCCTGGCAGGAGTTTCCTTGGGTGCTGGGGAGGGCTCGGGGCATTGCTGCCTCCCTGACAGGAGTTTCCTTGGCAGAGTACCTGTGCCACGTGTACGTGCGGAGCGACGGGCTGGCTGGAGTGGTGATTGCAGACAATGAGTATCCCCAGAGGGTTTGTTTCACCTTGCTGGACAAGGTGAGGGCTCCTCCAGCCCCCCTGCTGGAGCTTTGGGCTCTCAGGGCTGGCCACCTCAGCCTGGGCATCATTGGCCAAGACTGTTCACATCTCCTGGGGATCCAGCCCCTTCCCCAGCTCTGTTCCTGACTCTGGACATGCTCCAGCCCCATCCCTGGAAGTGTTCAAGGCCAGTTTGGGCAGGGCTTGGAGCAGCCAGGTCTGGTGGGAGGTGTCCCTGCCATGGCAGAGCTGTGAGGTCCCTTCCCAAAAATCTCCAGATCTATTTTGATGAGCAAAACCCTTCCAGCCACTGTGGCCCTTCAGCTGTGGCTCCTAACTGCTGCTTCCTCACCTGGCAGGTGCTGGAGGAATTCTCCAGGCAGGTCAGCAAGATGGACTGGCCCTCAGGGTCACCTGCCACCATCAGCTACTCTGCCTTGGATGGATACCTCAGCAAATACCAGGTACAGAGGGTTCCTGTGTGCCCCCAGCCCTGGAAATGGCAGGGGAGGTGTCTGGGCAGCTCTGGCACCTGCTGGGGGCCCATGCAGCCCTGGTGTCCCTGTGGACACTGTTGTGTCACGCTGCTGTTTGTCCCCAGAACCCCCGCGATGCCGACCCCATGACCCGAGTGCAGGCGGAGCTGGACGAGACCAAAATCATCCTGGTGAGGCTGCAGGGCTGGGGGCTGCTGCCTGCACAGGGGCCTGGGGCACCTTTGGGGCAGGGTAGAGTCACCCAGGCCATTCCCCAGGGTCCTCCCTGGGGTGGGAGCTCCCTTTGCTCTTCCCCTTTTTGCTTCCCCTGTTTTTCCTCCTTGGGCTTTTCGCAGCTGGCAGGACACAGACTCTGCCCCCTGTTCCTCATGCCAGTCTCTGCTGGTCACCTCCTCTCTGTTCCATCTCCCCTGGGGCCTCTAGGAGGGTGGGTGTGGGTGCTGTGACCTCCCCCTGGTGCTGCAGGGGGTTCTGGGGCTCAGCACTCCTTTCCCTGGCAGCACAACACCATGGAGTCCCTGCTGGAGCGTGGGGAGAAGCTGGACGACCTGGTCTCCAAGTCGGAGGTGCTGGGGGCACAGTCCAAAGCCTTCTACAAAACGGTGGGTGTGGAGGGTGACCCCTCCCCAAGGGGGCTGGGAGGGGTGGGGGGTCATCATTGGGGGGCACAGCTCGGGGGGCCAGGCAGGGATCCCCCCCTGGTGCTGCAGGCTCTGGGCCTGGGGGGAGCCTGGGTGCCCCAGTCCCAGCTGCAGAGCCCCCAGCCCCAATTGCAGCTGCAGAGCCCCCAGCCCCAGAGCCCCCAGCCCCTCCCGGGGGTGTCCTGCACCCTGCCCAGCTCCTGGCACCCGCTCTGGCCATCCGCCCTGTGCTTTGTCCTCCCCTGGCAGGAGAGGGGCGGTGTGGGACCCCCAGACCCTCGGGGGGGTTCACAGATGGTTTTCCTTCTCTTGCCAGGCCCGAAAGCAGAATTCCTGCTGTGAAATCATGTGACGTGCAGCCCGGGGTCTCCAGCTCCGGACCAGTAGCCCTGCACCCCCCTCCACAGCCCCCCCAGGGCTGTTCCTGGGGCTGGGCCGGGGGTCCCCAGCCCCCTGGGCTGATGTGACTGTTGTCCACCTTGAGGGGACACCAAGGCTGGCACTGGGCCGGCGCCCGGGGGCGGTCACACCAAGACCCTCCATCCTCGCTATTGGGGGGCAGCTGGGACCAGGGGGCACCCGGCCATGCACTGCCCTCCCTCCACAGCCCCCCGGGCCTGGAGGAGCCCCCCAGTGCTGGCCGGGGGGCTGAGGGGGCAGGCAGAGCCCCTGCTGCCAGCCCAGGCAGCTTTTATGTATTTGTGTCCTAAGGGTGAGCTGGGGGTGGGACAAGGGGGAAGGGAAGGAGGTTTTTTGGGTGGGGGGCAGCCCCTCCCCACGCTCTGAGCCCGGAGCTGTGTCCTGGTGCTGGGGAGGGGGGGGATTCACCACCCTGCACCTCAGAGCCCCTGCCCTGCTCCCACAGCCAGGGCCCGCAGTCCTCGCTGCCTCCTCTTCCTCCTGGCGGGAAGGGGAAGGTCGGGCTTGGGCTGTGCCTGGGGTTGTTTCTGTGCCCTGGCTGCACGGCCAGGCGATAAAGTGTCTTTGGCAGTTGTTCCCTGTTCCTCTCTGCGGCGTCCCGGGTGGGGTTTCAGACAGACACGGCCTGGGCACCCCAGCAGGGGTGGATGCACCTGGCCTTCCCTCTCCACTTTTCACTTTAAGGATCATTGGTTTTTCCTCATAATTTATTTGCAGTTTTCCCGAGACAAAAACGAAATCAGAGTCATCTTTTACACTTACAAGGCTCAGAAAGAAAAGACAAAGGGGTTTTTTTTGGGGGGAGGGGCATGGGGGGGATATGCTTGGGAGGGGGAGACAGAAAAAGAATGAGAGAAAAGGGGAGGAAGGAGAAAAATTTGGCAACGATCCACCAGCATTCATGGGACAGGAACAGCTCAGCTCCTCAACATACAGCGTTAGCGCCCGAGGGTTGCTCTCGCGCAAAGGGCATGCAGAGAAATCATCAGAATAATTAAAAAATAATTAATATCCCCCGCCCGCCCCGCCCCGCCCCCTCCCCCCAGCCAAAACCAGCCCTCAGCGTGGTGGGGATGCCCTGGGGAACGGTGGGGAGTGCCCGGGGTGGATGGAGCCTCCCCGGGCCGGGGGTGCCGGGACCCCCGGGCGCTGGCCGTGGGAGGGGGGTGCAGGGTGTGCTGCCGGTGCCCCCGTGCTGGGGGGCCCGGCGGAGCAGCCTGTGCCCCCTAAGAGACCCATTCTCTTAGTCTAAAGTGCTTTCGATGCTGCGTCAGTGCTGGCTGGATCGTCCTGAGCCCCCCACCCCAACCCCACACCCCCAGCTGCCCTCTGCCCCCCGACTGGCACCCACAGCCCCCTGCCAGCACCCCGGGCTGGCACCTGCGACCGGGGTGCTGGGGTGGGGATCAGCGGGCCGGGGACACGGGGGTGCCACTGCAGGAGCCTCCCCGAGGCAGCCCCGCGTTCCCCGCGCAGCAGCAGCGACCAGGGTCAGCCTCGGGCCCCACGGGCAGCGCTCCCAGGGCAGGCACTGGGCTGGGCTGGAGGGGAGAGAGTCTCTGCGTGTCCCCCCCACCTCACTCACCCCCTGGCAGCCCCCTGGTGCTGGGGACCCCCGTGGGAATTCAAAAATAAATAGCTCTCTCTATGTACAGGGGCTGGGGCAGGACAGAGCAAAGCGGAGCCCAAAGAACAACATCCACCACCAGCGACAGCAACACGCCACGAGCACAGCCGGGAGGGGGGCCGGGACCCCCCTTCCCCCCCAGCAGAGACGGGCCAAGGGGGGGGGCTGAGCCCCCCAGCGCCCTTGCCTGTGGCCGAGCGGCTGGGTCGGGTTTGGGGGTGTGGGTGGGGTTGGGGATTGGGGTTGGGTTTTCCCCCTTTTTTTTTTCTTTTTCTTTTTTTTTTTTTTTTGTGTGGTCTTCATAATTTTGGCTTTTTTTTTTTTTTTTTTTTTTTTTTTTTGTCTTTTTGTTTTCTGCAAACACAGGCACCGGAGGGGGGGAGCGGGGCCGGGGTAGGGGGGACAGGCATGCGGACGCGTGCTCGGGGGGCCGCAGCTCCGGCTGCCATCGGCTCCCATCGCCGTCTCCATCGGGCTGGAACCAGGACAGCCACCGCCAGCTCTGCGGGGACACCGCGGTGAGCCACGGCCGCGGCTCCGCGTGCCCCTGCCCCGAGCCCGGCTCACCTTCACTGCAGCGGGGCCACCGGGGCCCCCGAGCCGTGGAAGTGCACGTTCTGCCACTTGCCGTCGCGGCGGTGCCACACGCGCGTCTCCTCGGACTGGCTGGTGCGGGGCCGGCCCTGCCCGTCGATGTACTGCGTCAGGCGGATGTAGGCGATGCACGCCGCGTCCTCCCCGATAACGTGAACGTGCGGGTTCAGGATGGTCGTGTGGATCGGCTTGTTGTTCTTGGAGAGCACTGCAGGGCAGCCAGGACAGCGGGGCTGGCACCGGCACCAGAACCGGCACGGAATGGGCAGGGATAGGACAGGGATGGGGACAGAATGGGCAGGGAACAGGCAGGGGAACGGGCAGGGATGGAAACAGAGAATGGGGACAGGGAAGGTGCAGGGATGGGGACAGCGCAAGCAGACAGATGGCCCAGCAAGAGAGGTGACCAGGATGGGCAGGCAAGAGACAGGGGACAGTGAAGGAGGCAGGAGGGATCAGGATGGGCTGGACGGGGCAGGTGGGACAGGCAGGTGGCACGGGCAGCTCGGGTACTCACAGTTCTCGAAATAGAAGCGGTGGAAATCCATCCCCTCCACCAGGTTGCCCAGTGCCTCGGGCTCAAAGGAGGTGAGCCCCGGGTCGCAGATCTTCCTGCAGGCGGCAGGTGAGAGTGGCCCCGCCCGGCTCCACCCCAGCCGGCCCCACCCCGCCTGGCCCCGCCCCCGGGCCCCGCCCCACTCACGCGTAGGCCTCGAAGTCGCCGTTGTTGACGGCCTCGATGAGCTGCTCCGTGATCTTGATGATCTCCTGCTTGCGGGCTGGGGGCACGCCACTGTCACCGCCACGCCCCAGCCCCGGCGACACCGTCGGGGGAAGGGGGGCGGTGGGGTGGACATGGGACATGAGGGGAGGCTTGGGGACAGACACAGGGACAGACAGACAGACCTTGGGGGCAGAAAAACCTCGGGGACAGACAGACAGACCATAGGGATGGACCATGGGGACAAACACAGGGACCTTAGGGACAGACAGACCGACCATGAAGGCAGACAAGACAGACCACAGGGACAGACACAGGGACCTCGAGGACAGACACAGAAACTATGGGGACAGACAGACACCCCTTGGGGACAGATAGGGACCACTGTGCTCCCAGGACCCCCACAGCTCTGCCACATGTCTCATTGCCAGCCCAGTGCCCTCCCAGCATGCTCAAGCATCCCAGTGCCCGCTCAGCCTGTCCCAGTAGTTTCAAGTGCCTCCCAGCACTGCTCTTTCAAGTCCCAGTACATCCCAGTGCTGTTCTGGCACATCCCAGAACAGCCAGTTCCATACTGGTGTTTCCCAGTGCCATCCCACTGTGTCTCAGTGCCATTCCAGTGCATCCCAGTACCCTCCCAGTTCCATACAAGTGCATCCTGATACATCCCAGTGCAATCCTAGTGCATCTCAGAGCTGCTCGTGTGCTCTGGTGCTTCCCAGTGCTTCCCAGTGCATCCCAGTGCATTCCAATACACCCCAGTTCAATCCTACCAAATTCCAGTGACAGCCCAGTACACTCTAGTACATTCCAGTATCCCCTAGTCCCATCCCACTGTCACTCCAGTGCATCTCAATTAATCTTAGTACCATTTCACTGTATCCCAGTGCTCCCCAGTCCATTCTTTTGTAACCCTAATGTGCTCCAACCACTTCGGTGCCACTCCACTACCTCCCAGTTCGTCCCAGTGCATCTCAACGTCACTCCTGTGCCCTCCTAGTGCATCCCAGTGCCACCTCTGTGCATCCCAACACCGCCCATTTCCATCCCAGAATGTCCCAGTACACTCCAGTTTGTGTCAGTGACTTCTCACCACATCTCAGTTCTGTGTCTCACTGCTATTCCAGGGCATCCCAGTACAGCCCAGTTCTACCCAGAGCCCCTCCTGGTACCATCCCAGTATGTCCCAGTATCATTGCAGTGCATCCTGATGCCATCCCAGTGCCTTTTCAACTAACCCCAGCTGCCATTCCAGGGCCATTCCAGCGTGTCCCAATCTATCCCATTTCCATCCAAGTGCACCCCATCGCCTCCCAGTACCCTCCCAGTGCACCCCAGCATGCTCCCAGTGTATCCTGGTGCCATCTCAATGAATCCTGGTGTCAGCCCAGATCAATTCCAGTGAGTTTGAACACTCCCAGTGCATCCTAGAAATGTCCCGGTGCCATCCCAATGGATCCTGTTGCCATCCCAAATCCCACCCAGTGCATTCCAGGGCTGCCCCAGCACATCACAGTGCACCAACTGCATCTTGGTGCCATGCCAGTCCACCCCAGTTCATCCCAGTGCAATCCAAGGCATCCTGGTGCCAATGCATCCCAGCTCTATTCAATGCATTCCATCCAGCACGCTCCCAGTGCATCCTGGTGCCATCCCAGTGCATTCCAGTGCCATCCCAGTGCATCCCATCACCGTCCCAGTGTATCCCAGTGCCATTCCAGTGCATCCTAGTGCCATCCCAGCTCCATCCCGATGATTTCAGTGCTGCTCCAGTGCATCCCCGTGAACCAAGTGCATCCTGGTGCTATGCCAGTGCCATCCCAATGCATTCCAGTGCACCCAGTGCATCTTAGTGCCATCCCAGCACATCCCAGCTCCACCCCAGTGCATTCTAGCACATTCCCAGTGCATCCCAATGCATCCTAGTGCCATCCTAGTGCATTCCACAACTGTCCAGCACAGTGCCATCCCACAGTGCATCCCACAGGTCATCCCAGTACCATTCCAGTGCACCCCAATGCATAGTGGTCCCCCCTAGCACCACCCCAGTGCATTCCAAGACCCTCCCAGTGCATCCCAGTGCCATTCCAGTGCAACCCAGTGCATCCTAGCACCACCCCAGCTCGCTCCCAGTGCACCCCAGTGCAGCCCAGCCGCCCCCACGCCCGTCACCTTTGGTGTCCTCGTCCTCGATGGTGGTGTTGGTGCTGTCGGAGGACTCCTGCTCGCGGGGCGGCGGCGGTGGGGGGGAGACACAAACAGGGGGTCAGAGCTGGCCCCAGGGGGCACGGGGAGGGGGGACGAGCCCGGGGGGGCTCGGCAGGACCCCGGCGGGGCCGGACGGCGCGGGGGGACCCCGCTGCCCCCGCGGCCCCCGCGCTCCTGGCA